AATGCCCCACACACACACACACAAAAATATAACATTTCAAATGATTACGTAAATGGAACATATAAAAAATTCTATTCATGTTCCCGTTGGATAATATTCAACTGTGTGTGCGATCTATTCGATATAGAATTTGGATTTATTATGTAAAAAAAATTATATGGGGGAATGAAAATATTCATGAGTTAAAGTTTGGCATAATTTTTCAGTATTATGGAATAAGTTTTATTCATTATGGGGAGATATGATGGAATACTTTAATGGTATGACTGTAAATTATAGATAATTGTAACTGAGACGTTAAAAATGTGGATATGGGATTGTGGAGCATGAACAACTTTTTCCTCTATTGGATGTTTAAGTGGATGTAAAATAACTTTAGCATGTTGTAATTACAACAAAGTTCGTGTTTTTGTGACTTTTGGGGATTTTTCTGAGGAATAAGAATTTTGTAGCTGGATTTGAAGTTTGTTTTAATTAATGCAGTGTGAAATTATGCCTTGATAGCTGTTTGTCACCAAAAATGATGATTTACAGGGCTAAGGTTGTCCTAACCTGTAAGCCATATGTGGCTAGCATTACAATAGCTTGGTACCGAATTTCAGATTTCCTTTTGATCGGAATCAGCTGATTGGATGCAGTATTGATGCATATCCAGATCATGCAAGATTAAACATAATTTTGCTAACTTGATTCAACGTTAATGCAACCTAAAGCAAAAGTTTTAAGTGCCATAACATTAAGTTACCTAAAACCGCCTTAAACCTTGTCTTAATAAAACAATCAGGAAGTTAGCTAATAATACAACATAAAGTTAAATAATGCATTTTACAGCACATTTCACAATCTCTCTCATATGCTCAACTGTCTATCCTTTACAGCTTACTTTTGTCGACATCTTTCAACAATGCTATTGCATATCCAACAACGAGTTTATATTTCATACAAATGTTATATTTTTTTCCGTCATGTATTATATCATATCTATTTCAGTATGAGAGTCACAGAATATATATGCGAATGATAAGATAAGGAAGAAGAGAGAGCAAGAACACTTTTATGACTCTCGAAAGGGGAAGTAGGATGAAAGATGAAATCTCATAACAATGTAAATCTTTTGTTATTACTGCTTGATTTCTAGGAGCTATTCGTTCCCCGTATTCATAAGATGAACACAAACATTATCGATTTGACCCAATTTTAAACAATTTTTTTTTGTGTCGTGCAGACGAAAGGAATATTCAGGATCAGAAATCGCTGTAACAGCAATTTAAAAATAAATATATTTTTTGTACAAATACACATGTAAAATGGATATTTTATTGCAGACAGTTAGTCACAACCGAGCTGTGTTGACAATCAATGGAAGTTGCAATTTATCTCGCATGTCCTTGCTGGATATACTTTTTTGAATAGTAAAACATGATGTTTGTACATCAATTCATGTCAAATATTTAATTTAATTAACACATTTTTTGAGGCAAAATGAATTTTTACAATTCTACTTAATTCTACATGTGGCAATAAGCGAATGTTAATGTATTCAGGTTGAATAAACTTGCAATCATGATAGCTGAAAAGTGTGGCTTTGTTATGCATATTTTTTTCTGTCAATGGTAACGGTCTCAATGTCTTATTTTCATTTTTATTTTACTGAGAACCATAACAAAATGCTTACGTCTGTTATCACAACGATCGAGAGGTGTAGATATGGGCTCGATGAACTTTTGGGTTTGTTTGGTTTCAAATGAATTCTTTTGTGGTTTTGGTTATTGACGTGGTTTGTCAATGACGTTGTTGAAGGAACTTGATGATGACTATAGTGTCAGTGCAAATTAATAATATTTAAAAATTATAAGAAATTCTACATTAAAGTCTAAAGGAGAGGAGATGGACATGAAAACAGTAAAGATACAGTCGAGTACAAACGAGCTCTAAGATGGCATCAAAACTTTGTTAAATCCAAAACATTTAGGATCTTAAAGTTGCTTTCTTTGTACATGTTGATTTCAGGAATGGTTGGTTGTAAACCTGGGTTGGTGCTGCCACCCTACAGGCGAGGTTGTTTGGATAGGATTTTAAACTATCCTTTTAAGTACTTATCCTGGCACAGGGCTCGGTCGCTAGCGGTGCATTTCGCGGTATCAAGATACCACGAGAAGGTATGCACTTGACATTTGGTCAGCATCGGAGTCAGACTTCGGCTTTCCCAATCCCCCAGGTTCTTAAAGGAGATTAAGTCAATTTACAAATTGAGAATGAGTTTAGATTCAATCCAGAATGCCTTGTGCACAACTTCTGGATTATGTCATACAATTTCAACTCACCACCCCAAACATACCATCTCCATGCCCACCAGACAGGCAAACAAAATTTGTATTTTTTAAATGAAAATTTTCACAGTTTTATTTTTTTCACAAGAATCAACAGCAAAAACACAGGATGAACAATTTTGCTGAATAAATAAAGCCAGCAAATACAACACGTAACGAAAAAAAAAAGTAAATGGAATGCGGGTGGAAATCTACTTTTAAATTAATGTCGCTTGGGTGTGCTTTTTGTCCTATGACAAATGATTTATTTATTGCATTTATGGTTTTAAATGAAAATGTCGTGCGCCTGCTAATGTGAGGTGAAGTTTTTTTTAAAAAAAAGTGCTTTCGCAATTTTCAGTTTATGGATAATGCCTATGTGATATATTGTCTCATTATTTAAAAAAAAGAGAGACTTTAATGGTGGTTATTTGAAGAAAAATGTGCTGCTCTCCATTTACTGGATGTGAGATAGAGAAAAAGGCATAAAGTATTTAGTAAATTAAAAATTTTGTAGGAGATCACAGAGGGTATGAGGTGCTGGTTGGGGTTGTGAAAAGGTAGAATTCATTATTTATAATTTGTCAGTTTTAGAGTAGACAATCAATCTTTCTTTTGAGCTACCTGTGCTTACACATTTTACTTTAAAGGTACCATTCAAATGGGACTGTATAGCTTCTATTTCCTCACTAGAATCAAGAGCAGTGAAACGAAATTTAAGAAAATAGGGATTGCCTGAGATTGGAGGTTGTGTTTGAAGGTCTAGACCTTCTTTCCTAGGCTACTCTCATGCTTAGGTATCCTTTATTCTTTGAAATAGCTTACAAAAGCACAAATTCTATATAATCAACGCAATAAATGCCAATACAAACATTTCTGACATCAATAAATTGCACAAAACTATGTCATTTCAAAAATAAATTTAATATTCATCCACAATAATCTGTTGATTCATGCTACTCACCACAATCTTCCTCAATTATCTCTTACGTAACAAGCCGAAAAGCTCATCATCCGCATCTCATTAATTCTCTGAACAGAAAATTAATTTTAATTCTTATAATATCATCAGATCATCATGAAGATAATTGACAATGAGATAAGAGACAGAAGCTCTTTTTTCTGTCATCAAACTGTCTTATTTTTCACGCTTTAAGAGTTCATGCTAAAAATTCAATTTTAATGGTTCTCGCAACAATCTTTCTTTAGGGAATTTTGTGATGGGAGATGGAAAAAGTTGAAAGGAATAAAAGAAAAATTGTCTCGATATTTAATTAATTAAGATGCGGAAGCTTTGAAATTGTTTTTGTGACGACAATTCTTCTGGGTTTGATGGAAAGGGGCCGTTCACTTATTACGTTCGCATTTTTGGGGGGGAGAGGGGGGGGGTTGAAAAATTGTAACAAAATGTAACATAGGGGGGGGGGGGGTTGGGATGTCAAGAAGTATGTAACGTTCTAACACGAAACCAAAAACATTTTTTTAAATTTTCCACCTTTTTAATGATTAATGAAAAATTATCGAAATAAAATAAATTATGAACATTCAAGGGGGAGGGGGGGTTGTGAGTTGTAACATATTGTAAAAAGGGGGGTGGGGGGGGGGGGGGGGGGTGAAAAAAGTCGTTTTTTTGCGTAACGTAATAAGTGAATGGCCCAAAAAAACCTTAAATTTTTATGATTTGTGTTGCTTTGTTAAGACACTATATTGGATATGATGAACACAATGTTTATTTATTAATAAACTTAATCAAGGAGACCTTATGACTTATATATAAGGGGCCGTTCACTTATGACGTCCAGGGGGGGGGGGGGGTCAGCAAGAAAAGAACAATAGAAATTCCAGGAAATCCATTGTTCTTTTTTGAAAAATGACCGTTAATTTCGGACCCCTAATCACAATGATCTTTATTACTCAAAAATCGGAAAAAATCATATGAACAGGTTAACAACTACACAAGGGGAAACAAACTAATTATAGTTGGATACAAAATTTAAATATTAAATAACCGTTACTATATTCTGAACAAAAATGGTAATTTTATTCTACATTTAACTTGCAAACGACTTCGTAGTACACTTAAGTGCTTCATTCTTGGCAATTCATCTTCTAAACTCACATAACATCATGTAAACCCTCAATGCCTTCAAAGTATCCTTTGTATACCAATACATCATTCAAGAATTTACACAAATTGAGAATCCTAATCCACATTCCTTTCTGTTCCATGAATGACATCGTCTTGCTTTGTGCATTTTATGGAGACAATTATTTTTCATTTCTTTGTCTCTTTAATACTGTTCAATATTCTACAGTCAGTTTAGCGCAGTATGAATAAAGCATCGAGTGATAAACGTGCAGAACGGATGAGCAAGAGATATTTAATGCTTTTAAAATTACCTGAAAGTTTAATGAAATATTCTTAAACTGAACATAATTTAATGGTTGTGCTGTTGATAAAAAATAATAATGAGCAATAAACGTTCTTTTCTTTACTTATAGGAAAATCCCAGCAGTGACTGCTTAAAAAAAGCAAGCAACTGTTTAAATTTCGTGTAGAAGGAACTGTAAGAAATGTGTCAAAAAAGGCGTGATAAATTACTGTGTAGTCAACAAAAATGCAAACAAAGAAACAATTTAATATCGGAACCAACCATAGACTATAAAATTACAAAAGAAGTGAATTTTAAATAAATATTTATGGACAATCATGCGAATAAATGGACATAAATAAGAAATTATAAATTAAATTGTTGTTATATAAAATTAAGATACACAAAAATGTCAAAATACTCTATGGATGATCAAATCTGCTCGCTAGTGTGGAGCTCGAATGAAACTCTCCCACCATTAAATCAAGTAAGTACTTCCATTATGTAATTCAATACTATTCTTTCCCTAGTCATAGCTTCAAGTACTAATTAAATTTTATTAGAGTGGATAAACACTCTCCAAGAGTGACATGATACAATCGATGGGATAGAAGAAGATGTTGGTATTGGCGTGAGAATAAAATTAAGTTTAATTATGTAGCATTCAATATGGACTGAAATGGATATTCTTTTTTAAGTTTAAAGTTTTTTGTATGTGCTTTTTCTTTACTCTTGATTGATTTTAATTTTCAATTTCCCCTTGGGAATAAATTCCACTAGTAATGTGATTCGATATGTTTGGGATCTTCTGGATCTATATTTGGATGTTTTGAGACACATCTCATCAGTTCGATAATGTATAAATATTAGACGTCATTTATGAACAACTCTTAATAACATTTCATTTAATGGTCCATAATATCATTACATACATACAACTGAACAACAGGAAACCATATCAAAAACTCCCAAAGGCCAATGTCCTTAACGGTTTATTAAAGCTACTCAATTCACAATTTCCTTTCTGATAAAAATTGATGACACATTCTGAAACTATAAAGATGCCTTAAAAAAATAACAAGACAAGAAAAATTGAAGGGCAAATGACATTTTTGGTGAGAAAGGCTCAAAAATTTGATCGTTTCTCAGTTCACGCTTACTTACTGATGATAAAAGAGACATTGATTGACATGATGAAATATTCTTGTAAATTCAAATGTATTTACGGTTCAATTTATGCTGTGAACTCTGAACGGCACCTCCTTTCAATTTGAATAACTTCTGCCTGCCATGGAAATGATTTTTTCAGATCTTGATAATATTTTCTGATTGCTGAATAAATTTTACGAAAAAAAAATATTCAGCCAAACCGAAATGTTATGATAAAAATTCCAAGAAGTAGCAGTTAAAGATAATTTTGAAGCTTTCATATCTTGTTGCTAAGTTTTCATCGACATAAAGCTCAAGTGTCAGAAATTCAAGACTGATAGATTGTTTATTAAAAATCATCATGCTTCCAGTCACTTGTGAACTTGATTTTGAAACCCAAGACTTCATAAATATGTAGATTGAATATTGATTTAAATGAAGTCAATGCTAAAGAAGATGCTTGAACAATAAGGGTAGATGAATGCTTTAATTTCCTTAATTTAATGAGAGTACGCTTGAATGAGCTTTATGAAAATTGAATTTTGGGGAGTTTATTGAGAATAATTGGATTATTTTCTGAATTTTCTTGACAATTGGTAGTCTTGAGTTCATTTCGGCAAGTTAATTGGTTGTAAACCCTCTTGGATATCCTTAACTACACTTAAGCAACTCGAAGTTGCCTTCCCCTCTCTCATTTTTGTAAGACATCCATCCTATGTCTCATAATCGTTATATAAAGCCATTGGAGGTGAAAATCTTCAAGGTCAAACCTTGGCTACACTCCCTCAACCCTTAATTGAGAATTTATTCAACTATATTCTTACAAAGAGAGTAATAGACAACCCTATTGCCTCTAAAGATCACAAAGTTGCCCATCACAAGTCCACAGACATCAGAAACTTTCTCACAATCCCTAAATCCATAAGATTGCAACGTCAAACCATCAAAAAGTAAAGGATTAATTAAATCTATGGGAAAAATAACATCTTGAGGTTTAATGCAACGTCAGTTTATCTAAAATTTCCATTCATCATTCTTCTTTATCTCACTACTTCTTTTGCCTTCAAGCATATCCCCGCATAAACTTTCAAAATAATTCAAATTCAACAAATGATGCATATAAGTTTCGAGTATGATGAAAAAATTCACCCCGTCTATAAATTTTTTTCCCTCCAATTTTCTTCTTTTTCACACGAGTCTTTCAATGCAGCAGCACATTGACTGAAATTGGCATCTCTTCTTCCTTTCCTCATTCCTACACATCCATTTGAGACGAAATAAAAAGTCTTCATCATGAAATCAATTTTTTTCGCCAGCATATTGCATGTAATTCAATTACTTTTTAATACTTTGGTTTATTAAACTTCATGCGAGACATACCGCATGACAGAAAATGTTATATTCGTGTGGGCTGTTGATAAGCCGCACAACGTTCGATAAATTCTATTTTCTTGTGTGGCTTGGTTGTAACTTTGTTGAGAATTGAGAAGTTTTGAGGAATTGGAAGCAAATATCATTTTTAAGTAGGTGAAATAAGAATGCATCTGGTCTAGAGGACACTGTTCCTAAATATTAAGGACTTCAATGGTGTCCATGCTCTTTATTTGAAGCTTGCAAGGATAACGATGCTAAAATTGGATGTTTTTCATTTCACCACATCCCTGCTTATTGAAAATAGACTTTACCACACGTTTGACATTGTAAGACTTCTCGTCCATGCCTCACAGGTCATCGTCTCGTATGTTTTGAATTTTTCTAATATTTTGGCTCGTGTTTAACAAAACGGAAGAAACAAAAGTCACTGTTGTACTTTTTCGAGAGTAGTCTTACGACTACAGAATGCATAATTCATACCTAACCAATCAGTTTGATGAAATGAAGCGGAAAAATGGTAACAAATGGAATGAATTTTCTTATTTAATCTAGGATATGAAACTTAGAAATGCTTACCTAATGCAAAAATTTGTAGACGTCGTGCATCAAATGAACTGTAAAATTGAGTAATCCTTTTGAATTTAATATTTTCTCAAAGTTTTTGAACTTGAATTAAGTGCAAGCTGGTTTCAATAGTTGAACATCATCGTGGGGTTATTCATAAATGACGTCTAACATTTACAAGAAGGTCTCATTAGTGTGATGCTCTATAACAAAGTGTCTAAAAGAACAGAAGCTTCTAAAATATGAAATTCTGGACGTCATTTGCAAACCGATCCCATACCAACAATTCTACAGTCTACATCAACTCATGTTCCAATCATCTGCTTGCTTTTCCTTTATTTAACAATCAACACATACATTTTTCCTCATTATTTCTTCTCTTTCCTTTGTTTTTTCCTTGAATTAAGCCACTGGATGACTTGAGGACAGAAAACTTGAGGAAATTCTCATACGGAATTGTATTACCAATAATTTGTGCGTTGGGAGTAATTGGAAACGTATTGAATCTCATTGTATTAACACGTAGAAATATGCGAGGAACTGCTTACATTTATATGCGAGGTAAGTCTTGATGTTCTTTATTTTCGCACAGACTACAGAATTAAAGCTTCAATGTCTTTTTGCTTGAGAAACTTAAAGCTTTTTCAAGAATAAAAATTTGGGTCTGATTTATGGATAAATTTTGGGGTTTTAAGAGGAAAGAAGAATCTTCAAAGTAATGATAAATAAGCGTATTAAAAGGGATTATCAATAAAATGGAAAAATATTGGACGCAGATGTTTTTGAGGGATGATAAATATCGGATTAAATAATTATGAGATTTTTTTTCGGTACACAAAATAAATTTTATGATTGAGACTGTTTTGTGACAAGTTGCAAGGGATTTTATCAAATTTTTGAGGTTGCAGACATAAAGCTCCTCTTTCAATTTGCCTGAAAGTGGAAATTTAATACTGACCAGCCTGAAAACTCCAAAAACGATCGATCGATCACATTTCTGAGGCATATCCGAGAAGCTAGGTTTCATCATCCCTAAAAAGTCCTTCAACTTTAAAATCACTTCCTACATTTTGCATTAAAGTATCAAAACAACATCTAATCGGCACATGACAAACCCACGTGCCTCAAAACCTGTGCCAAAGCTTAACAGAAATGACGATGCAATAACAAACTTCCATCGGCCCACATTTTGTCCTCGTCGGTGTTGTTTACGATGAAAAATTCTATAGTATAAAGCTTTGACTGGTTTGGAGGCGGCTGCAATAAATTCTTGAGTAAATAGTTGATAAGCTAAAAATAGTCGATAAGTCAAGGTTGGTTTGTATGCAAATGTTTAGATAAGAATAATGATAAGGAGTTATTAGGTACCAGAAGTCATGTTGGGTGTGGAAGTTTAACATCCGTTTTGGTTGTGCTTTTCTTTTACCAAAAATTGAAATTTTATTTGACCTTGTGAGTCTCGTAAGTATCTTTGAGCCTTCATAGCATTTATTGCTAGTCATCAATGATGCGTGGACATGAAATTGTCATCCAACACTCTCATTACTTAAGTAAACTAACGAAAAACAGACACTTAGCCATGACAAGTCAAAAGCAGACACTCATCATCTGATTCTAAAAATAGAAAACTTACGTGCATCATAGGAAAGTTAAAAGACCTTTTCTTCTTGTCATTCAGTCTATAAAATCCACTTCGAAGTCATCAATGAAAATTAAACATTTCTATACTCAATGAAAATAAATAAAGCCAAGTCTAGTACAGTTTGAAAAAGAAAACGGAAGAAAGATTCTTTTTTGACGAACAATCAACAGAAATGAAATGGAATCATTGAGTGGTAATTGCTTTTCAATCAGAAACGCGTGTAGGTTGAAGTGAAAATTAAACATTTTTTGTTTCTACTCGCTACTAAATGCTCCACTCAATTATACTTAATTGAATGAAAATTGCTTTTTAATTAGAGATTTTTGAGAAGCAAGGAAAGAACTGAAGTGTGAGAAATTTTATGAATTAATGAATTTCAAAGAAGAAAATAGAAAAGTTTTGTAATAAAAATTTGGAAGTTATTGAGATTTTTTTTTTCCCACGATATACGATAGATTCAATATGAACCAGTAAAAGATTGCATAAAAGTCGATCTTTTTCTGGTTCATATTGAATCTATCGTATATCGTGGGAAAAAAAAATCTCAATAACTTCCAAATTTTTATTACAAAACTTTTCTATTCTCTTCTTTGAAATTCATTAATTCATAAAATTTCTCAGTTTCAGTTTTGACTTGCAGCAGCTGATTAAAAATTCCTATTACATTTAACGGTCAAAAAACATCTGGAAAAAAACGTCAAAAAATATTTGAAACATGGCTGTCAAAAACAATTCAAAAAAAGTCCAAATCTTATTTTTTTTAAAAAAACCGATATTTGTGACAATCAAAAATGATTTTGACAAAAAGACATACTTTGAGCATAGGTCCAACATCTCAAAGCATCACAAACACACACACACACACAAACACACACACACACACACACACAAATTTCATCAAAAAAGCGCAAAAAACCCAAAAGACAAAAAAGGTTTTGCTTCATTAAGCTTTGCGTGTCTTCGCCTCTCAAAGATTAAACAGAAGAAGCCCCTTTAATGCCTAAGGATCATCGATTTGAATAATCATTGTGTTGAAATGTGTGACAAGGACATGCGAAGGAGTAAAATATTGTTTCGTATCAACACACAATGTCATGTGGAATGAGGCTTAATATACATCTCAATTTATTTCCTAATCTATTATTTACTGTTGCGACTCATGAGAAGGAGAGACATGGCACATGATATTAATTCTTGATACAATTATTGCGCATTTCATTTAAATTCTGTGAATTCTTCAAGTATAGATCTTGATATTATTTTGCTGGGTAATTAGCATAGCTGAAAATTTATGTTTTTGAAAGATTTCTTAACAATTTGAATTTCAATTAATACTGAATGCTGTTCTATGAATGATAATAACATTTCATTTTTGAATTTGAATGCTTACATTGTAAGGAATTTGGGTTTATTGAAGTTGTAGGAATAATTGTCAGACAATAGCTTATTATTAAGGTTATTTTTGATTTGATTTGAAAATGATTCGCAATGAACTTTAAATCTTCAAGTTTGTCTTTAGTACAATCAATCCAAATAAGATTCAAGGATCTTTCAAGCTCTCAGACAGTACTATTGACTGTAACACGTTTAAACATCCGCAAACCAAATCAAACATCCGAAATTCGAAAATTTAACAAGATTTACCATCAAACAATGCGATCAGCCCACAGCAATATCAAAACAATGTCTCACATCCCACACTTTTCCTCTGCTGGGAGTCATTCATCAAATTTAATCGTCTATGCTGTAAATAATCACCGACAGCCGAGATTTCCATAGTAAATTGTGAATTCTCATTGTGCTGAACATTTATTACATTTTCTATGAAGAATGTTACACAGTCAATGAGACTAACCTTGACTCAGTTTCGGCAACACTTTCTGTTTACTCAATGAAGACTGAAAAGTATTTAGGATACGAATCCACAGCCTAAATAAATTCTCAATTATTTTCAAGGAATCTTCTTCTTGTTACTTAAAAAGGATTTCAATTTTATGAGCACAAACAAAAGATCCTTGCTGATAAAGAAAAAGGATATAAAAGGCATACTTCGTATGACCTACTTTTAGCCTACAATCTTTAATAAGATTTTCAAATGTAATTAGAATTTTAGGAATTCCTTTGACTTCATTGCATCTTCTCTCTTAAAATCATTTACTTAACCTTAAATGAATTTTTTTTTATTACAAGGAACTTCTTCTGTCTTGAATGTGCAATTCAACCTTTCAGTTCCTTTTGGAATACGTGAAAATACTGAAGAAATTTTCGTAGCCTTCAACAAGTTTTTCTATCCACGAAATCTTATTGCTCACTTTATATTACTGTGTACATCAGCTCCTGTTTATTGTATCTTGGTAGTAAACAAATCAACACTGTAATTTTTTTTATATCCTTACATATTTACATGCTGCAGCAAATAAGAATTTACATGCTGTAGAAAAATAATAAGAGCAGAGAAATCTAATTGAAAAGGAAGAAAAACATTTCAAAGGAAATCGATCTTTGAAAGAAAATTGCTGCAATCATTTGCTGATTCTTTCAAGGAATTATTGCTAGTTAGATGCTCTCGATTAAGTTTGGAACTTGAATTTAAATTCTTTGTTTAAAAACAATCTAAGTTGAGATTTTGCTTTTTCATGAAAATTTACTACTGAATCAGGCTTAGTGTTTATCATGACATTGATCTTTGAGTGTTAAATAATCTAAAGATTGATAAATAAAATATCCAGTTCAATTGCAACAGATCTTAATCTATTAAAAATCAAATTTAATCAAAAGCCATTAAAATGAACAAAATCGAAGTTGAACCAAACTCAAAGTTTGAACTAAAATAACGCATTTATCGAGAGAACTTGATTTATTATCATACAGACGGTAAAATCGTAAATTGCAAGAAATAAATGAAATGAAAAATTCTCCATTAAGTTTCAACTTGTTTTCTCAACAGTACACAAGCATCATTTTATCATGCACAAATAAACAGCAAAAGCTTTTGATAAGAAATGAAGAAAAAAAAAGTTGACTAAAGCTGAAATAAAATGTTTATCATATATAGACATGCAAGCACGAATGGAATGAAGAGAATGTAAAGAAGGAAGAGAACTGTAACATCCTTATTTCGCGTAATAAACATCTTCATGCATTAAAAAATTGTTTCAAAGACGATGTCATATTATACGGATGGATGCAACGCATACTTAGTAGAAGTTTCTTTTTTCTTAATTAAATCATTTGTGAAGGAATTTAAAGAAGACGCTTGCTTTAGTCTGGAATTATAAAGGAATTTGAAATTTGCATAAAGTTGCACGTGCATTCACATTTTGGATAATTTAAATTAAATACTTAAGAAAAGGATTATAGAAGATCTCATTATGTATCTTTATGGAATTTCGTGACGAGCGATGCTTGTTGCAAGATGATAAACTTTGGTATGAGAAGCAAGGAGCTCTTGTTGGATCTTATCAAGGTAAAATAAGATGAGAGAAGATCAATACGCCTGGAACAATCTTTAGCTATATCAATATAATTAATTTGTTTATAAGCTCAATCAGTACCGAAGCTGTAAAGCATCCAAAAGTGTTGACAGCCATTTGAAGAAAGTTTACAGCCAAGAAATATTTCATCCATCTTAAATTCATCTCAAACCGCACCTTTAAAAATCCATTTACCTTAATTTAAAAAAAATGATTCCCTTAATAAAGTCTGATGGGAGCACAGACTACAGCAAGCGCAGGCACTTCAGGAAGATGTTACATTAAAAAATATAAATCTTCATGTCTCGACTCAGTTTTTCTCATAATAAACTGTTTTATAACTTTTCTTACTACAGGGAAAAAGTTTTACGCTTGTTGATCCATCACAGATTTTTTTTCCGCTCACATCCACAAATATCTGTTTTTAAATTTTATAAAGTTTGCCGCCGAGTTTGGTATTAAAAATGCAATTTTAGTTGGTGTGAAAGTTTTCATGTTCAGAAAATTTTGATTAAAATTTTTAAAAAAAAATTCCGAAAGTTTTTATCGCCATTAGCTTGCAGTTTACACAAACCAGCAAAACTTTCAAACAATTTCCAAAATAAATGTTAAGTTCACAATCCACTTAATATAAGAACACACTTAACCGTGAACATATTGTGTACAGCATCACAAATATCTGTTTCAATTATTCTCCAGTTAACTCCAAACTAAAAGAACTTTGAAGGTAATAAAAAAATAATAATTTCGCATAAAAGAAACTTGAGCACAAAAAAAAAATTTGTATCCATTTAAAAAAAGTTTTTATTAAATGAGATTAAAGTGTAATCTGTTGGATGCTTGCTAATAGAATTTTTGGTGCTTTGTGTTATATCTATTTATGGTGCTTGTAAACATTAATTTGTCAAGGGGGTTAGAACTTCATTTTTGAGGATATATGTATGTACATTAAGTGTGGTTAATCATGTCTCCTGGGATTTCTTATAGGCTGTGCAAGGACAAAGCCAGAGGAGAGTAAGAATTAATTTTTTTTCTTTTCAAACTGTGGTTTAAGATCTTTATTTGTCTTAGCCTAGTAAAAATTGAACCCTTTGAATTAGCAGAGCTCGAAGTCGATAGGGTTCGAGTCGACTCAAGTTGACTCGGTAATTTTTTTTGTATGAAGAAGTTGACTCCGAGTTGACTTGACTTTAGCTTGTGCTGATAAGTCTTTTGTGGCTGACCTACACCTAGGAACCTTCCACAACCTTTATTAAATGTCAAAAAAATTATTTAAACAAAATTAATATCAGAAACTCAGTCTTTTATGCTAATTTAACAATTAATGAGGCTAAACAATCATTTCGCTTTTCATTGCGTCTATAAAAAAAGGCAGATAAAATGTAAAATTTCATTTAAATTAATTAGAATCCCTCCATTCTTCATGATGTTAAGTAAATAAATTTTTATTCAAATTAAATTCCGAGTCAGACACAAAAATCAACAAAGTCAAAAAATCGTGTACTTGATATCTAGTTCATTTTGAATAAGAAATTTGTTAATTTAAAAGGCAAAAGTTGTAATTAACAAAATCAATAAGTAACAGCCTACAGACTAGACGTTTAGAATTTCGTGCTCAAAGAAACTTTATGGATTGAATATTAATTTAACGATTGACCCCAATCACTCAAACTTTGGTATTCAGCGTATTTTTTCTGTTTACTCCTTGTTATTGTCAATTTGTCATCAACATTTAATTTTTCACGGCTGAATTTCATTGTCATTTAGGCACACAAGTGTACAATTTGTTTGTCAAGCTTTGGGATTCGGTTTGTTGAAATTTATTGGAAAACTTCTAGGTATGGTGACTTACTGCTTGTTCAAAAAATTATTAATTTTTGAGATACTGCTTGAATATGGCTAGAACCTTTGTTTAACCTGAAACCAATCCAAACACTAAGTTCGAAATCACCAAAAATGCTCCTACCTTGTAACATTTAACTTCATTTTTTGAACTAAGTCTATCCATTCACACATTTTCCGTGTCAAAGTCCTTTTGTAATTCTCAATTTGATTTGTTTATTCACTTTGCACACCGCCCTACAATATGGGACCAATAATGATAATATGTATACACATATACAAATTGAATATGCCATTATTATTTGACATAGAACATGTTGTTTGTATCATCGTATGTTGAAAATAATGTCATATAATTAATGAAAAATTCATAAAAGCACGTTCTATAGAGTCTTGACAAAAGACAGAAACAGGAACGACAGATCTGTTTAACTTTATTACAAAATATATCAATTTTAAACAAACACCGAAACAAAGGAATAGCAAGAGCTTTTGTTTTTTTACGTTTTGTGCAGTGACGATGAGAGAAAAGTTCCTTGACAATAGCTTGATAACTGCAGATACTCATTCAAGCGTATGAGCATTAAGCTCATAATAAGAAAAAAAATGTCTTTGATGAGTTACAATTTATTGTCATTGCAGAGGAAGTCTGACTGCTGCTTATTGTGATTAACTGTTATTTTCCTTTAACATCTGATTTCATCTGTGTCATTATCTGATGATTTCAAAGATTTAATCAGTTTAGAGTAAAATGGAATCTGTTTTTTGTGGAAGTGTCTGCAATATTGTTTGGCTAAATGCTAATCTTTAAAGATCTTTGAAGTTTGATCAATTGTTGTTGGAGCTCAGCTTAGATTGGTTTTATATGCCTTAGTTCTAAACTATAAATATAAATTGATAAATTCTTAAGAAACATGGAATCACTTAAAGTTCATCAAACCTTTTAATTCTCTTTTTTTGAAAGATACGAATGAGTTAACTTTCGAGTTAACAAACAAATTCTATTTAAAAAAGCACCTTTACGACTTTTTGCAATGCTTTAAAGCTTGCAAAACAAAATCAAAAGAACAAATAAACCGCATTTTGATTTCAATTTTCTGCTTGCTTTATCGTATCTTTATATCCATTCAAACAAGACTCTCGTAAGAATCTAAAACTAAAATAATTCAAATTTCTCAAACTTTTTCAAACAAATTTGATGTCGTCGGGAAATTTTTCACACGATAAACACACAAGCACAAACGTAATTTTATTACGAACTTGACTGTCTTTTTATATAAATCAGATTGTTATTAATAAAAATGGAAAATGTGTTTTTTTTTATTTTTAAATTCATTCAACATTGGAATAATATTTCATAAACATATTCATAAACATATTCATCAAATTCATTCATCAGTCATGTAATCACTAGACTTGTTGCACTTGAAATTAAATTTGATTTAAAACTTGCAAGAAAATAACGAACAAATAAAATTCAAAGCTTTTCTTCAAAAGCTCAAGCAAAGACACATGCAGCTTTCCTATCAGAAATACATAAAAGCTCATACGAAATAGCTTTTATAGCAAAGCTTTCTTCAAAAAAGCTCAATTCTTCTTATTTCTTTTCCACAGGATATTCAGCATCTGCGCTTTTAGCTATAATATTTGCAATACCTTTTGGACGAAGACTTTTAACACAAGAAGATTATGGAAGATGGAAGCACTTTAGTGAAGCTTTCTATACAGCACATTTTGAGCTTTTCCTTGGAAATGCTTGCCTTGGTGAGTGTTGACAATATTTCAAAAACTTGTTAATTTTATGATTTTTTGATTTTAGGTGTTGGCGTTCTGATGCTTCTTGTGTTGACCATTGAACGATATGTTAGTGTATGTCATCCGACTCACATGCGACCTGCTCTGGGTCCACCTAGGTAAGATAAATTGTCTAAGGAAGACAATCCAAAAAATAATGAAAAACTTTTCAATTTATTTCCTCAGATTGACTGTGATCTTGATTCCAATAGTAACATTTATCATTTATTTGCCGAGTTTATTCCGCTATGAAGTTGTTAGATGTGTCTTATCCACTGATGGATCAATTACGTATTATAAGCGCAATAATCTCGAGTTTCTAAACTCAATGTTTTATTCGGTAAGTTGAATATCTAGAGTGGGGTCATTCGGATGATACGGAGTAAAACCAAGGGACCAAAACTCTGACTGAAGGAGTTCTGACTATGCTATATGTTACGTAATATACGAGCAACCCTATAAGAGTTTTTAAAAATTTTAAGTCGCAATTTAAAGCCTGAAAAGCAGCACTTTTTAATGAATACATAAGAATCCCATAAATATTTCCAACAATACAGCAAATGAAGCTCTTCTAAAGTGTAAAACATGCAATTACACAAAATTATTTTACCACAAAAAAAAATGTAAATTTAATGAGACTCTAAAAGTAGAGCAGGAAATGAACAGAAAAAGTTTTACAAACTCTTACAAAACTGACTATATAAATCATAAAAAAAACTTTATCATTAATTATCACTTCATTTCCCCAACGTAGGTGTACAAAGTAATATTGGAGATAGTATTTAAATTAATGCCAACAGTGCTCATAGCCTACTTCAATGTGCGTATCATGATTGTCTATCGTCAAACATGTAATAAACGAAGACGAATGACGTTATCACATACGAAGGATGATGATTCGAGAAAATTTGCGGAGGAGAGAAGATTAATGTTCTTGTTAGGTTAGATATATGCGAATTAGATTTTATGTCGATATATTTTCATTGCCTTATTTCTTTCACATGATCCTTTGCGTATATGCTTTGATTCTGGATGATACTAGATTCACACTTGGTTTTGGTGTTTTCTATTTCATTTGGTTAATGGTTGGGGTTGGATTGGGATGGATAATTATTTAAGAGGTTGTGTCGCTTAAGAGGTTTCACTGAGGAATCAATTTGAGTTCTATTGAAGCACTTCTTTGAGGATATTGAAGTAAATTGCTTCCTTATTCAAATTAGAGGAATGATTTGGTCTTAAGATAAACTATTCTTTGATTTTAACTCTAAGAATCAGGTTGACTGTTCAAGAACATAACCAAAAACTCCATAACCTCAAAGCATATGCACCAGACATCACCAGAAAGCATATCAACCCAAACTATCAAATTCAAGGCTTTCCATACAAAATAGCAATCAGATAATATGATTCTCATTTCTAATACCATAAATTTAGGTAGCACCTCATTACTGTTCCTTGTATGTGTTTCACCAATGGTAATTCTTCATGTCACACTGTCCCAGGAAAATCTTTCGAGTTTTCCTTATCAAGTAAGTTACATCAGCATCATTCAGAATTCATTTTCATTATTAGTACACATTAATTTTCATTTTTTATGATTGTGACGTGTCGATTGAGTAAGCTTATTGCTGGTAATTAATGAATTTATCGTAAAGGAATTGACTTAATAAAATGAGATTGTAAATATAATGAGGCAGTCGTTTCCGAATTTTGTAATGATGATTTTGCATTAAAAATAAGGTTTTCTTGATAAGAGTTTCGTTTGGAAAGAAACATGCTGAAATTTGAGTTGAAAAATCGATCAAGAAATTTAATTTAAAATTAATCAAATGAATTCTCAAGTTTGACTTGCAAAGCAATCAATAATTCCTAAGCAAACAGCACAAAATCAACTCGAACTCGACTGTCATGCGAAGCAGAGAAACAACTAATTTCACAATCATATCAAAAGTCTAAAATCACCAACATTCAGCAATTTGCATAAAACTGTGATAAATTTATGTTAATAACCCATTAATGTCTTCCTCTTTTTATTCATTTCTTTTCCTCATCGACCATACTTTATGTTCTCTTGATAGGTTTTTCGTGCACTAGCAAATGTTATGGAGCTCACAAACTATTCAATAACATTCTACATCTACTGCTTATTTAGCGAGGACTTTCGTAATACTTTATTACGTACGATGAAATGGCCATGGTTTAATGATAAGACTAGTATTAAACGCACTGATGTAAGTATATTTTTTTGGATTTTATTTTTGGAATTTCCGAGATTTGCATTGAGTTTCCCGATGGTGCTGAACTATGCGATGGACTGTAATAATTAATTTGTGCAATGTAAGTTTCTGCTCGGTTTATAGCTTAAAATGAGTAAGTATACTGTAGATATGATGGCACGGCAGAACGGAACTTGGCGTGAGTAAAATGAATCAAAAGGAAAGAAATCAAGTTCAAATATTGTCAAACTCATCTAGCTTTGCCTACAATTCTACACATACACAATTCAACAAAATAATTCATATTTACAGCACCAAAACTTTTTATTATGGAAATGAAATGTCAAATTTCCAATTTCACAGTTAAATCCTGTGTTCCATGTATTGAACAGTCCCAAACAAAACTAATTTAAATAACAATATAAAATTTATTCATTTTATCCTATTTTCTCTCTATTCATACAGTTCCGATTGACAGTAACGCAGCCCATTATAACACAACACAAAATCCCAATAACCCAACAATTTCCACAACACAGTACTTCGGGTTTTGTAACAGGAAATGGTAGATCAAGTAGCATTTGATGTCCTTTGCTGGCAACGTTTAACCATGAAATGTCAGCTGTGTAAATAGAAAGCGGAAAGTGTGAGCAGAGCTCGAAGTCGATGAAATTTTGTACGGAGTCGACTGCAGCTATACAAAATCGATGAAAATCTCGAAATCGACTTCGAGCTCTGGGTGTGAGGCATAACAACATTGAAAGATACTGCACGATATAGTTGTGTTCAAACTCATGATTTTAAAAAGGAACCAAAAATTTCAGAACATTTCTGACCAAATGCTGAACACTGGTTTAGCACAGAGTGTCACATCCCTTACCACCTTTTAACACACACACAAAAAAAAGTATTTTCATCATAAATTTTGAAAATATAAAACATTTGGAATGAGATAATTTAACAACTTTCATATAGTTCTGATAACAAACATTTACTGTTGATTTATGAACTACTATGGGAATTGCATAGAATGGGAATATATACAATAATTTTATTTATTTCTCTATATGTTTTCGGACTTTAATCATGATATATTGATTTTGAGGTAGAGAAAGTTTTTTACGCATTTCGAGTGAAAATGGGGAATTAAAATTGGGGAAGGGAAGAAGAAGAAGATGCTGCTGTTTTAGTTGGTGTGATAACTCAAGCTTTCAAGAATTTATGATGAATTTTATGATTTTGAAGGTCATAACCTAGATTTCTTATCATATACAAGTATGGGTCTTTCATAAAATTCGTTCATGTTTATTTAAGTCTTATCACAGATAATAACACAGTCACACAACTTAAAATGTGCTGTTATTTGTGAACGATTCCATTTTCGAGGAAGACAAGACTGGAGGAAAATACAACTTTACAAGAAAATCGGTTCTGCATGACAATTTAAAGAGAAGAATCAAGTTTTCGCTAATTTACCTGAAATAATGCTATTTTATGTCATCCTTCATTTGATGTTGATCAAACTTCAACTTTTAAACTCATTCGATGCAGAATATACCACAGAATCATATCTTAATACACAAATATCCATTTCACAATTCAAAAATTCCACAGTCCAGACACTAAATCTTTCAATCTATTGTAAAATCTTTCAATCCTTCTGAAAAATCCATAAATCTACTAAAGAGTCTACAAATCTATTGATGATTAAATATCCTACAACCAAACCCGAATAGCACAAGTCGGTTATTTGAATAGAAATCCGGCACTAATCTAGTGTGATTCTAGAATCATGCCAGAATCACTATGGATTGGTGCCGGATTTCTATTCAATTAATCGACTAGTGCTATTCGATAAATTACCTCGAATAGCACAAGTCGGATAATCGAGACAAAATCCAACGCTAGAAAGATGTCGTCTAGAGTAGGATTTTGTCTCGATTAACCGACTTGTATTATTCGGGAATTAAACATAAACAAATAAGAAAGGTCTTCATGTTATGTGAAAAAAATAGCGACTAGTCATAAAAAAAATAATATGCCTAAAAAGATAATATTAACTATACAACAAAAAGTACCTTCAACGAGAACTGCCAGTCTTTATTTTGTTGATAATGCGTAAAGAAATTCCTTCAACAGGAGTCGGAATGGGATAACAAGTGAGAAAAGTAATGTATGTTTCAGAAAATAATAATGCTAATTTGATTACTGAATAAAATTTACATACATGAATGTTAGCATGCGACACAATAAAAAAAAGTTGTTGTTGTTTCTATAGAGTTGTAAGGAACATGATGAAGAAAAAAAAATATGAATATATAAAAAAAAATTGTGTGCAATTAATTGGAATGTTATTTGCCTTCAAGTTCTATGTAAATAATGCATGTGTAAGAAGGTACATGTAAGAATCTGTATGTACATGCTATATGGCATATTGAAGTGTCTCAAAAAGTGAACTAGCAAATCGGTATGCCTCGTTTATTGTTAATGTACTCATACAATTTTAAATTGTAGATTTGAGAAGAAAATGGGTCTGTAGAGAATGTTATTTAAGTGGAAAAGTGCTCATTATTGTATTAATTAGAAGAGATTTAGAGCGTTCACATATACAATACAAAATACTTATGCATAAAAATTCCATTCATTGAATTTCGCGTAACTTTATTCGCATTTAAAATGATTCTTTTGTAAAATTATACAAATAAATATTTTAAATGTTTAAAACACCTGCCATTGATAACAAAGTACTGTATGAGATGAAAAGTTATAATGCAACGTGAGTAATTGATTATATGGGATTGCATACTTTTTTTTTGACAAATGTGATATCTTATGACATTTAATGTTTCGAGAATGTAAATTATGATAAGATGAATAGAAATATATACGCAATTATATGACAAAGATGATAACGAGGCGGGATTATTTAGAAATGCGTTTAAATTATATTAAAGAAGGCGGAGATAAAGCTTTTATGAGGAATGAACTCAATTGAGAATTAACATGCACTAGTCCGAATAATACAAGTCGGTTAATCGAATAGAAATCTGGCATATAGCCTGTGTGTCTCTAGCATGGTGCTGGGCTCAAATGGAATTCAGAGACATGCCAGAGTTACCCAAGCTTGGTGCAGGATTTCTATTCAATTAACTGTCTTGTGCTATTTGGGTAGGTACATCAAGTAAACGTTGAACTATTACTAAAAGAACCTACCTATGTGACTATTATGGATAACTAAGCTTAAACAAAAACTTCAATCTTCATTTCTGAATTCTTAAAACTATCAAGTTCAAATTGTAGCTAGTTTACTAATGGATCATACCCTCAGCTGACCATGCTCCAAAATCAATAGAATATATAAACTACACTTGATTCAAGATGAAATATTTAAGAATCAATTAACTTCATTCCTCATAAAAACTAATGTTTACTACTTAACTTAGAAAATTTTGAAAATTTAAAAAAGTTTTTTGACTTTAGCGAAATTTGAAAAGAGAACCGAAAAGAAAGCAAAAGGACTGAATAGTTAAGGTGTATGCAATAAAAATTTATTATTTCTATCTGTTGTAGATATTCATTGTTCATAATTCAATAGTAAGACTTAATGTTGTCATTTTTTCCTAGAATATGTCACTAATTAAACTAGTAAGATTTCCAAATAAAGCTCAACACGTTCCAAAAGATCATCAAAAGTAGACAACTAGTAATCAATATATTAAGATACATTCACATGTCTTTGACAAAATATTCCAATACATTTAATTAAATCCACTTCATTTGCACCTTGAATTATTGAGTCCTTTTACTGAAACGTGACTAGATTTATGAAAAGTAAAAAAAATATTGAAAACGTACCTATTAATATATTATACTATGCATAATTAAATGAATTATAACACATTGCATATTTGAGGTAGATAATATGTATCTATAGAGAAAAGAGATTAATTAAAAATGTATTACGAATGATGATCTTCTTTATGATAAAAAAGTTTAATTTTCAAAATTAATAAAAAACAGAAAAATTCAAAAAATAAAAGAAAATTCATAATCTTAAAGAATGTAATTATTTTGGTGCTGTCTTACTTTTATTTCAGGATTTTATATGGTTTTGTAGACTAATATCTTTAGAACTTATGTGAAAATATGTTTCAAGTAATTCATTGAATCTTTAAATTGCATTACATAAGTTTAACATATTTGCAGGAGAAAGATCATAAGGCGTCGTTCACTTGTGACGTTCGAAATTAATGGTCAGTTTTCAAAAAAAAACAATGAATTTCCAGGAATTTCTATTGTTCATTTCTTGCTGACCCCCCCCCTCCCCTGGACGTCTAAGTAAATCAAACCCTTCTTCTTCAAAAATTGACCAGCTAGCTGCAGGTTCAATTTTTCAAGTAAACGACCGGATTCTGCGTCCTTAGCTGCCAAATGGTCTGTCATGATAAGCTGTTTACAATCTTGCAATCAAATCAACACACAAAAAATTAGATTAAGTTCAAAAATCATCAATAAATAATCTCCAATTCAAGACACAAACTACAAAAATAACAAATTAGTTCATAGTCTCGCGGCTGATAGTCACTCAAAAATGTAGCTGTAACACAAAACCGATTAAATAAGAACAGTGACTAATTAATCATGAACATTAGTCAATAATCAAAAGAATTCAATAACTTGTCTTATCAGCACTTAATGTTTATCAGCTCGGCAACTAAGATTCAATTGCAATTATTCATCCGATTTTTGGCAGGTTAAGCGATAAGAAAAAAAGTTTTATCTGAGGCTTAAATATACTTGAGGAACTAAAAAATTTTGTTCAGTCTGAGATTTGAAGTTTTAAAGTAAAGAAGTCAAAAATGAAATTCGTTATTGCTCTTATTGCATTTGCTGCCATTTCTGCAGTCAAGTCAGAATCAGCACCTGTACAAATCAGTGGAAACAATATAGGAGATGTAGTCACAGTTGGAGTTAACCTTAATGCCGTCGTCAGTAGCAATGCTGAAGTTAATATTCTCACAGCTCTTATTGAAGCTTTGAAGCAACAAGCTGTTATTGGAAATGTTGATATCCCAGAAGGTATCGCACCAATTGAAAACAAGGAAGAATTCTCAGTCATTGATAAACTTCCAGAAGGACTTCCAGACTTGAAGAATATTAACGTTAAGGAATTAATTCAAAAGATTAAGGACTTCAAGATCACACCTGAACTAATTGAAAAGCTTAAGGCTTTAATGAAGAAGGAGTAAAATTTGGGTCATTAACTGAATTTAAATCATGTGGTGCTCTTAAAGAAGGAATTTAATAAATTCAATTTTTATAGATTTTTAAAAAATTATTTATCCATAAAAAAGGAATTTGTTTCCATTTTTATTGTGAATTTCAAGCAGCAGTGGAATAAGTGTCTTAGAATTGAAAGTTATTATTTTGTTCCAGAATTTATGGTTCCCTTCTAAACTAAGTCTTACTGACAATCCAACGTTTCTATTTTTCAGTTCTATTTTTCTTTTAAAATCAATACAAAAACGGATCCTTAACTCAACACTCTGTTAATTTTATCTGTTGAGGATCTCCCTACACTTGAGATTAACTTTAAAAATTTCAATAATTCATCTCAATTGAAAATTCAAGCTTTGAACTTTGCTAGCTGTAGATATAAAATTGCGCAATTGTTGTTTGCCAACATACACTTGATATTTTTCAGATTTTCTAACATCATTTATTGATAAGTCTTGGATCAAAACTTGATTGATATTAGCTCAATAAGATTAATATTTTAAGTAGTATTTTATAAGGCATAAAACTTATCTTGTTGATAATATTTCTAGCAGTAAGTATGACAATTAAATATTGTTGATCAGTGGTTACACATATGGCACTTATTCTTTTACACAATTATTAAAGCTTCTTTGGGACAAGCTGTAATTATCACAGCAATAAAAAATAAAATTGTGTCTGCAACCAAACCAATACTTGTAATAAATTTTGTAGATTTAGCAACGGCTGATATGCAGCATTAGAGATATATTTAATTGCAGCATAGGGATAGTCTGCAGATGTAAAAATTCTGCAATTCCGAGTTGCTTTGTGTCTATCTGGTAAGGGTCTTAGCTCTTAGACACTAGCATCAAAGATCCTTCAAGTTAATGCCACCATTAAGCCAAATGATAAACACTCTTTAAGATAATCAGAATTTTCATAAAATATATTTTACTTAAAAAGGCAACATCCTTAAATCCAACGACTGCAAACAAGAACTCATTTTCGGAAACAGGTACTTCATTTTCGAACTTGATTTGAATTTAAAATTTCCGTTAAAAATATTTGTTTGCATTTCTTAGTCTTTATTGAATTTATAAAATTTCATTTTTTTTAAAATAGTCAGAAATTGTGTAATTACTGGTTGTAAAGGAAAGAAAACCAATAAAATTCCTCTGTTTGAACTTCCAAAAAGCTCTGTGCATAAAGATAAGTGGATTGAATTTCTTAAATTGCATAATATTGAATATTGCTGTGAAAAAAAATATTTCTTGTGTATTCTTGAATTTATTTATAGACAGCTTAATTGTTTTATCTTATGTTCTGATCCTTCCTTTAACCAGAAATTCATTAATACAGTAATTGCACAAATTGAAGTCGATTTTGAACATTGTCAAGATACAATTGATAAATTATTAAAAGTTTTTGTTGAATTTAGAGTAAAATTACAATTTCAAAGTCGATTGGTACATAAAAGGAATAATTTTGCTTCAAAAAACAACTAGAATAAATATATTTTTATTAATTCCCTAACGATCATTTATTTTTTTAAAAAATTCAATAGTTCGAAACAGTTCGAAATTTTTCGAATTTCAGTTTGAATTTTTCGAATCAAACTGAAGTTTTCTTTGTTTGCAGTCGTTGGCCTTAAATCAAAAGAGCAAAAAAGCAGCAACATCCTTTCCAAGGTTGTTTTTATTCAAAATTTACCAAGATTCATTTTATTGCTTATCACTTGAAATTTCGCTCGTAAAATTTTGTTTTCCATTGTAGAACGTTAACAAGCTAAATGATTTTCTTATTCCTTGCTACAATTTTCTCATCCATATAAAAAGTCATGTGAAACGGTAAGACGACACGGCATGTGTATATGATTACTTAAATTTTGAATATATAACCAATAAAAGAATGTTTGGACATAAAACGAGACATGACATAAGAGGGAAAAGTAAGTAAGTAGAAAAAATTATCAAAGGCACGGCATGATGGAAGAAGTAAAAGAAACAATACGAACGTTCTTTATTTCCTAATAGCTTAAGGCTTTTTTTATAATATAAAATACATCTATGCGTGTATAATTCCGAGACATTTGATATCATTCACCTCCTGTCTGTGGCTTTCGGAATGAGAAAAATTTACCAAGTTTTATGGCGCACCTTTTTACGATCACATAATGGATATATTACATTTGAATGCGAGCATGCTCTTCCTTATTCATGCTTAGAAATATTTTTTTGGGTGCCCTTTTTATCAATTGTCATAAAAATTTATGACTGCCTGCTTATAAAGTGCTTCTCCGCTGTACCTTTGCATACTCCAGCTTACATCCTCCCACGACTTTCGGATGCATGTTTATGTATTTGTGTGTCTTTCTTTCAGATTGTGTTATGATAAATTGCCTTTTGTGTTAAATTTTCCACACCAAGAAATTCTTTGCTTTCTTTCTTATTCAAAATTTCTTTTCATTTTAAAATTGCCGCACGCTTCCTCATGACTTGTGCCCTACTCAACTCATTCATGTATGCCATTATGCGTACGTTATCGTGTAAATAAAAAAAGAATCTCTTTGTTATGTTTTTCTTTTGAAAAGTCTCATTAAAAATTATTATAATTTAATTCAAGTAATCAGTGAGTATGGCTTAATGCTGTAATTAATGATGCACCTGAGAGTATTTAACATTGTGCTTCAAATATTAAAGGAATTAATAGAATTGATAATTATTAAAATTTAGGTTGAATGAACTGAATTCTATTTTAAATGCAGATGTCTCCTGCATAATTCTATATACAGGATGTTGTAGAGAATAATATAAACTGATAATTATGGCATATACTCTTGATTTTGCCTAGTCATGACTTATTTAAATGAAAGTAAAAATCACTTGATTATCATATGAAAACCACAAACGCATTACTCATCTATATGAATGCTATACTGACTAGATTTTTTTTTAAATTATTTATTTTAATTTAAACTTTTGTCCGGGAAGGTTCATAAAATTTTAAGGAAACCTTTAATTGTGAAAAGTTTTTATTCAAAAAAATGTAATAATTTTAAGTGTTAAGCAACATGAGTTTTTTCAACAGAAGTGTTTATCAAAAGCTATTCAGTCAAAATTCTGAAAATAGACAAAGCATTGGTAAGTTTGGAGTTGTTTCAACTTTTGTATTGATTCAATTCAAGGGTGTGGTACTGATGAAATGATCAAAAATTATCAAAAATGATCAAAAAATGATCAAAAATGATCAAAAATTATCAAAAATGATCAAAATCTAATTCTTCAGTTCCACACCCTTGATTCAAATTTAAACATTTTAAATGAATATCTTTCGAATAGTTTACTTTTTGCATTTTGTTCTTAATATATTAAGTTTTGAATCCTTCAGATGAAATAATTGTGCATCCACATCCAAGCAATTATGATCCGTCTACATCACAAGCTCCTAATCATGACAATTTTCATAATGTTGAAGACTTAATGGGCTTTTTCGAAACTTTCTACTACAAATCATTGCTTAAAGACACCAGCAAAGTTGCGATATTGAAATTTGAAACTTCAAACAAACCAAGTGCATCAATTTTAATGGATTTAAGTCAGAAATGTTTAGGAAATTCAATTGTTATTCTTTTGGCTATTGACGGGAGAAAGAAGTTCCATCTTTATTGGAAATCAAAGCAAATCAAACATTTCTTGACTTTCAAGATTTATGACAAGAATGATTTTATGAATGATATTCGACTTTTTGAATTTTTGGCTGATTTTCTTGCACATTCAATGAAACGAGGGCATTTGGGTAGGTTCCTTTGAAATTTTGTTTTTAAAAGTTCCTCAGTTCCCTTTAAAAAAGCTATTGTAATCTTCTCTTGTGCAATAAATGACTAACATACTTTATTTCTGATGATCCTTAGGACTTCACAGTAAAGTTCCAATAAAACCTACAGTAAATACATTCGAGTTTCATCTGCTTGCTGATCACCGAGACTATAATTTATTATTAGTAGCAGCAGAAGCAGGCGATGCTCATGTCGTGAGCATAATGCTTAATTTAGGTTTTAGTTCTGAATTTCGCGAAGTAAATGCTCAAACGTTGGCATGGAAGAATCGACATTTTGAGGTTTTGTCATTACTTTTAAAGTCAAATTTAATCTATCCGTACTCAATTTACATTGATGAATGTCCTGATGATATCAAAGAGTTTTTTGAAGTCAGTCGTGAACTAAATGAAGTCATATTGATGAAGAATGAAGCCAGAGTTTTAGAGATTTTATCTGAAAACTCAGACATGATTCATTTTTATAATTTGAACAATGAATCAGCATTAGCATTTGCATTGAATCATCGACTTTTTGATATGTATAGATTACTCATCTCTAAAAATATAATGCTTGGACCGCATGAAAGATTCAGTGAAATTAAGGAGGATATGAAAGAAAGTGAACGTGAAAAGCTTCGAGAAATTCACTATAAAGAATCTAAGATTCTTCCTGATAATCATATGCATGTCTTACTCTCAAATTCACGTCTTGGTCACGATTCATCTAATGTCCAAAGAAAGTTTAAAATCATTCAAAATGCTTTCGAAATTTTGAATGGAAATCCTTTTGTCCAAATCATCTTAAAGATTGTTGCTGCATCGAGGAACTTTCGAATCATTTTCGACTTTAACCGTGATTCTGTGGAAGTTGTTGATCCAACTGTAGATGAGTCAACTGATGGACTATTTTATTTATCTGGGAGAATTTATATTGGTGCAAAGAAACTGCTTGATAAAGATATGAAGTTTGAAGCACTTGGAGTTTTAGCGCACGAGCTATGCCATTATGCAGTAAGTCTGGTCTACAAAAACTCAGCAAAGCCATATTTTGCCAATGATTCTAAAACCAAGAAGGTTTTTGGAAAAATTTTGAAATTTTGTGTTGAAAATGCAGGAAACGAGCAAACTATTGATGTTGTGCATAAATTGTATCATGTAACTGCTTATCATGCTGAGCTGATCGTTCGGGTTCCTCATTTAATCATGAAATATCTGAATAATCCCGAGAAGTTTAACTCTGTCAGGTCTACTTTTCATACTTTATTCGATATCTATGAGGATAAGATATTTAAGGAAATGAAAGAAGCATT